GATTTTGAAAATGATGATCATTTTGCAAATAATGGTTTTTTCCTGCCTAATTCTTTAGGTTATAGGATAAATCACACCTTACCTAAAAGAGGGCATTAACTAGATTTGGTTATTTACTTTGACAAAATTATTGTATAACTTATCCCTGAAGCTTAGCATAATTAAAAGTTGAGGAAATAGTTATGTACACCCCACTAAATAAGTTTTTCACACCCCTCACACCAGAAAGTGCAAAAGGCATTATGCGACAGCTGTGCGAACGACATTGTGCGAAAGCTAAAAATGCGAACGCAATCGCATAACCCTTCTCACTTTGTCCGGTGAATATGTGACAACTATGCGACTGATATTCGACCGACTAATGTGTGACAGTTATGCAAACCATTCGCATAACCTTCACATTTTCTAGGGTGAGAAAGTTAGTTGTTAGCGAGCTGGGTGAAAAACTTAATATATCTTCAGGTCGGGGTGTAAAAGAAATTTTGCCAGTTGGTTTCCAGTCATCTTATACAGTTACTACTAACCCGCTGGCATGTGGTTATATTTTACTACGGAGGCATTATAGTAATCACAAAACACAAACCCATATGAAATATTTGTTAATCTGTAATAAGGTTTAATGTTTAAAGATATTTGATTTTGTTTTGTTTTTTCTTTCCAAAAATTAGATTAACATCTAGGTAATAACTGTAACTATTTCCACTTTAAATATGGGGACCAGTGCATCTCTTAATTGGGTAAGATCAAAGGATTGTTGAAGTTAGGAGTTCTGCACGGCACAAGAAGCTAAACCATTAATTTCATCTGCAGATGCTACTTGGTGAATTTATTCTCGCAATTACCTGTGGCTCAAGTCCGTAAACTTTGACTTAGTGGAGTAATACAGATAACTGATATGAAATGACGTGACTGTTTTAGGAGTCAACCAATGCGTACAAACCTTTAATGGATGATCTTATTCTCCGTTCTAACTTTACAAGTTCAAAATTGCCATACAAATGCAGGTTACCCAGGTAAGCAGAAGGCGAAGGTGTCTGAGCTATCCAAGTTCGGGCGCCCAGTAAGTGAAAATTTCGTCCTTTTACTTTTTGATATATCTAATGTATATATATTTGATTTCTTTCCACTTGATTCATTCACAGCCTCTTTTTTTTCATGCATCTGATAGAATTTGAATCAGAGTATGGAAAAAATGAATTAACTGTCCGAATCTATGAGAATTTTAGACATATATCCAATATACTTCTGTCAGTTTAGTTCATATTTCCTGTTCACTACGTTAACAATATTGGTTTCATTGTATTATTAAAATATATGGGAAAGTGATTAAGTTGTTTATCAGCTGCATGTCTCTTCCTTTGTCTGACCATAAAATTCGAAGTTTTGAACATGAATTTTAATAAAATATCGCAAGTTGAAACTTTCAAAATCAGCTTCTTGGTGTTCATCGTGTAGGCTAAATTCCGAAGCTCGTCTTGGTGGATAAGATTTTTCATCCAGACCAGCTTAGAAGAAAATGAATCTGTTATCAAGAAGTTTGAGCAGGCGGCAAAAAAGAAGTCCTACAAGTCGGACTGCCAAGTTTTCCACCTCAAACCATTGCATTGATCGATTGTTGGATAATGTATTGGCAAACACGCCGAGGATCATCGTTAGCTACGGTGTCACCTGTCAATGTGGAAATTGTAATATTTTTTTTCGTTATACAAGTTTGGGACACCTAAATTATTGATCGCAGCATTTTTTTTTCCCGTGTCTTAGTTAGCATCGAGCAAAATGTATCATTGTCCTATATTGATTTATTGTTGTGTAACAAGAAACATTTCTGCAAAATTATGAAATCTCAGTGTACTACTGTACTTCTCAATTATTATAGAAGGGAAAAGGTGTGAGAAATAGGAGGCAAGTATTTGTGTGAATGCTCAACTTTTTTGCTATTTGTGTAAAGTTTACTTATTGTAATGGCTATATGAGCTTACTTTTTTCTTTCAAGTTGCTGCCTACTGTAGTTTGACATACAAATTCATATATTTCATAATTTGGTAGTATCGTTAGATATATGTTTGTACAAGTTTATAGTTCATAAATTGAGTGGACCGACCAAAATAAAAAAAAATATTAAGAGAACCACACTCTGCGAGAGTGTTACGTACACCTCTATGTACATTTATTATGTACTTTTGACATTTTCCTATAACAAAATAAGTTACCAAGTCCAAGAGACCAATGATGGAGCTAAATGTCGTTCAAATGTTTCAAAGAAAAACATTCGAGTCATCCTACAAAAACATGTTGGAAAAAGTATTTGAGGACGCCGCGATATAAAATTCTTTCACCATTGATACATAATGTATATATTTTGTATTGTTAATAATGTAGAACAATAATTTTTCTACATATTATTCTATAGAATGGTTGAGTTATTGGTTTGTCCGGGCGGTAAACATTTCTATGTTCGACAAGGACGCTCTCCTGCTCCCGGCGTAAATGAAGTGGAATTTGACCTTGCTCCTGCTCTCTTTTGCTCCGAAGAGAGTAAAGTGATTTTTCATGCCGGATATTCTATATTCTGACAACTCTGTATGATAATTATTTTATTATCTAATAACGTTTAATCCGTATCTATATAATTGGGGGCAAAACATTTAATAAAATTATTTAGTTTTCCTCCATTTTCAGTTACAAAATTTTATCAATATATATATCAATACACCATATTCAGTGTAATCATATAAGTTTTGCTATTATATTATATAATAGTGAATGCCAATACGATCTAATAATAATTCACAATAACTAAAAATTACACAAGTATAAAAAACTCGATTGCAAATTTTCTCTTCAAGCTATTTATACTAAAATCAATTTTTTTTATTTTTATTTTTTTTTTTTTTTTTATCCCAAAAAATAATTTTCTTTAAAAAAATATTAGCTAAATAGTTTTAATAGCATAGTCAAAATCACTTTAAAATCTTATAAAAAAAAGTTGTTATAATAATAATAATAATAATAATAATAATAATAATAATAATAATAATAATAATAATAATAATAATAATAATAATTTTTCAACTGAATTATTTGACCACGATCCCTAGGAATTATAAAATTACGTTACCTACAAACTTTTAATTATTCATATATACTTAAAAATTTATATTTATATTATTTTATTTCTACTAATGAACAAACTTTGAAATTGTGATATGTTTTTTTTTTCCAACGACAATAAAATTTCATTCAAAAATTCAACAAAATTTACATCACGATCCATCAACTGATGGCCACTGTTTTCAATAGCTTCAGCATAGCTATTTCAGCATCCCCTTAGGAGTCAAAATACAAAAATACTGACTAGCTAGCCAACAAAGATCACCTACAATATACAAAATTACAAGAAGAAAAAGAAGGTACCAATTCAAATACATCAAAGGCAAGGGCATTACAGCACAAATCAAAATTCTACCCTATCAGATAGCTTCTTCACAAGGTTTTTGTGAGACAACTTAAAACAACATGGATTCAAATCTTCCTTCAGAGCTATCTTCATCATCCATCTGATTGCATAAAGCAATATATCCTCCACACAGCCTGAGAACCATGTGCTCTCTGAAAGTTTCTGAATTTGAATACCTTCTTTCTCTACCTTGCAGTTCAAAAGCAACTGATTTTGTGAAGAGTTTAGGGCACTGACAGTGAAAACCCACTGTCCTACCCTCTGGGAAAAACACTCCTCATGAACCAACATAAATTGGGATACAAGACTTTTTATGCATTGCTCAGAAGCCAAAACATCAGAGAATTCAGACCAATCTGCTATTGCTTTTTGTTTTATATGAAATTCACAGCACCTCTCATTTCTAAACACTCAAGCATTTCTTGTTTTCCAGAGCCACCACATTATATAAGTTGATAGACTAATCCTCTCATTTCTTGTTTAATCAATACCCCTCTCCCAGCTTCACTCAAAAGATTGTTCTTCCAGTTTAGCAATTTTTTAGAGACACTATCTACAACAAATCTAAAAGTACTTCTTCAAGATCTCCCAATCCCTAGAGGCAGTCTCAGATATTTGGCAGAGTTAACACATTTAATGCCATTCAAAATGCAACACACTCTATCTTTGATCCTAGGAGGAACATTCTTAGAAAAGAGAATAGAAGACTTGTGCAAATTGACTTTTTGACCTGAAACAAGACCAAAGGCTTCAAGAATAAAGCTAATCAAAGAAGCATGATATTCATCAGCATAACAAAATAATATGGTATCATCAACAAAGAGACGATGAGTAATGGCTGGGGAAAACCTGCTAATTTTAATACCAGAGAAAACCTGCTAATTTCATTTTCCATAATTTTAGTATTAAATTCACACATAAACGCATGAAATCAATTTCGGAAAAAATGGAGACGATCTGAGAGTGAAAGCGCCTGTTTCTCTGTCCGCCGCGCTTAGAGAGTAAGCGAAGAACACCAGCAGCCGTGAGGTAATACGCCTTTCAATTTTCTCATCTCTTGTTTGTGTCGTCATTTGCATTTGGCTCAATTTTCGCGATTTGATCGAAAATTCATCTCTTTTATCACAATTTTGTGTTTTTGGAGCTTCTAGTAGCCGATTTCTTGTTTATCTTTTCCCGCCGTTGTTTGGGCTTATCTGATCTTTTCAGATTTTTGGGGTTAATGTATTTTTGACCAGTTATGGATATGGTGCTCGTTGATCTTTTTCAATGGGGGCAAAACGCAGCTGCTCTGTCTCTGTAATTATGCTAACATTGTCGATAACGTAGGATTACGTATTGAGCGAGGATGTATTTTTCCTTGGAAATTCTTTTGGTTGAATAGTAGCTGTTATTGGGATCCAAGAATGCCATGAAGAGCCTAGCAGTTTTTATACATTATGAATGGAGGTCCTTATTGCTTGTTACGAAAAAGCTATAATTTATTTTTTCTGGGTTCAGTTAAATCTGGTCTGTGATAGGTTCTCTTTTTATCTATAAGACGATGTCAAGGAGACCTACAGCTGGTCGACGCCTTGCCGACAGTGGGAGCATTCGTTTTGTGGGTGCACTGCACTCGAAATCCCATACATCTCCACTATTGTCTATCGGCCTTTTGGTTGTGGTAAGTCTCTCCTCTATGTACTACACCTCTTACCGCACGTGTGCATGAGCATATGCATCAACACATTATTCATAGACATTGCACGGTAAAACACTGAAGTTCACTCTTGCGTTATTCCGTTCCATTTTGTGTTACATATCGCACAATCTTGGGAATGAAATGTCTGTCTCTCTCTCCCTCCCTCTCTCTCTCTCTCTTGTGTGCTTGTGTGCATGAACACCTCATAATTCGGATACATTTCAAGGTTGATTCTCATGCCTTCCTTTATATTACGTTTGGTGATGGGCGTCTTGACATCAAAGAGTATGCTTGCTTGGCTTGAATTCACAGTCCGCAAATTGGGTACTTCTTGTGGATTATTCTTATTATCATCTGAAAATTAATTAATTTTTTTCAATCTTTATTTTTTTAATCAGGGAGCTCTGCTGATTATAGGTTATATCTATCATGGCTCAGGTCTGTGCGTGAATGTGTGATATGTTTTTATACTTATATAGTTCAGTCTTCTATGTTCTTATACTTAGCTTTTATTCACATACTTCTTAAAATATAATGCACACATACTTTTATGTCCTAAATAATATTAGGGAGCTCTAAAAGAACGGTGCATTCAGTTTTTTCGGTTAAATTTCATCATCTGCAGTTAGTCTGACTTTCGAATTGTTTGCGTACAGGTGGCAGGAATGGCGACATTGACTCCTTGAATAGACTTGATGGTAATTCCTTTTGACTTAAAAGCAGTAGTTCATTTTGTTTATTCTTATCTCCTGTGTTAGCATATAAGGATGAATAAATGCTCCAGGTACCACAAGAGAGATGTCCCTTAGTTGATATCAATAGTAACAAACATATTTGTTATGGCATTGCCTATTTTATGCTTGTATGCTTTCAGTTTCTTTCACCATCTCAAATAATGAATAAGATGTTTATCTGATAATTTACCACTTCAGCCACCAAATGGCATAGGTGGAGCAATGATGACAGTCGGGTGCGCTACACAAATTATATATATATATATATATATATATATATCCTTGCTAAAAGTCACAACAATTTTTGTTTATCAATATATACATTTAATTTTATATATAATTTACCACTTTTTCGGCAAAGACATTGGGTCAGGGCTTATGATTGTTCCCCCTGCCTCCGCCATTGTCACGTGGTCTTTCTCCTGGCTTCTTTTTCATCCTATCGTGTCTACAAAATGTGAACAAGATGCTACTATAATATAGGAAGTTAGGTTTTTGTAATACATTCACATGTATTATGTGCTGGTGGTGTTTTAGGCACTCAAGAAGTTCAGAGACTAATACCTATTCTAAAGAAAGCTTATGGGGACAGCATGCGGAAAGTGTTGCATGTGGGCCCAGATACCTGCTCGGTAGTCTCTCAGCTATTAAAAGAGGAAGACACAGAAGCTTGGGGTGTGGAGCCGTATGAGCTGGACGAAACTGATAGCAACTGCAAGAGTCTTTTGCGCAAAGGCGTCGTGCGTGTGGCTGATATCAAGTTTCCTCTTCCTTACGGACCTAAGTCTTTCTCACTTGTCATAGTCTCAGATGCATTGGATTACTTGTCGCCCAAGTATCTCAACAAGACTGTTCCGGAGCTTGCCAGGGTATCTGCTGACAGCTTGGTTATATTATCTGGTAATTATATGATTATATTTATATCCAAAACAAAAGACCAGTAACTGGAATATGTAATTCGATTTGAATGAATTATGATAATATTTATCCATAAAATTTGGTATTAAATAAACCCAGTCACTCATTTACAAATAACTCCCTGGCTTGGGGGTTATAATTTAATATTAGAGAGAGGCATATGTGACACGAAGCACATCTAAATGAAGTATTCGTATCTCTGCAAGGAGTTTCTTACAACGTCTAAAACTACTGGAGTTTTGTTTTTCTTCCTTTCCTGGAATTAATTAACATTGGTTCTGTCAACTATGCGTACAGATTTTTATAGGACGATCTTGTACTAGGTTTTGGCTGACAAGTTGAAAGTTGCCATATAAATGTTGGTTATCCAGGTAAGCAGAGGGCTAAAGTTGCCGAGCTATCCAAGTTTGGGCGCCCGGTAAGTGCCAATATTCGTCCTTTTCCTTTTCATATTATTATTATTATTTGGTTTGTAATATTTTTAACGATTATCTGATAATTTTACACGTACATTTGTACTTTGTTAAGGCATGTACAAAAATGAGATACCTGATTGATACACATATTTCCAGAATAAATTTCTTCGGTCCAACTATACAATATATATATATATATATATATATATATAGAAGCGATCATATGAGAATGGTACGTAGTGAAAGAAATAAGAATGATCATGGACCATTGGATCAATTATGTTAATGGACATGATGAGTCAAAATTAAATTATAATGGTCAAACCTGTAGTGGCAAAATTGTGATTATATTAATGTCTCATGGGCAAATAAACATATTGGAGGGTAGTAGTGTATTTTCATCAAATAAAAATTATGTGGGCCCCATCCATATTGTCAGAGCATCTCCAATGGAACATTGTCCATTTTGTGTTGAATAGCATGAAGAAAGGAAAATTAAAAAATGTGTCTCCAATGGTAAGCATTAATTGTGGTATAAATTGTGATGTGTAAAATTGTAATTGGTTGAAAAAAAAAGATAAATTAAATAAATAATATAATATATTGTGGAAGTTGTTTAGAATGGCTTCTACATCTAGAAGTCTTTCTAGACATTTACCATGCCACATATAATTATTTGTGACATGTGGCAATAGAAAAGAAGAATAGAAGAGCCATTGGAGATGCTCTCATTCTCTCCTCTATCTCTTATCCTTCTCCCTTTTTATCTCTCTCTCACGCACAATTCCACGCACTAAAGGTATCTGAGTTTTTTTTATCTTTCACCTTCTGTGTGCCCGCAGGTCCACCAGCAGCCGTCGTCCGCTGCCGCCCGACACTGCCGCCATATCTCTCTCGCCATCTCTCCATTTTCCCGTTGCACAGGCGACGCATGTCAGCCACAAATTCCGGCGACCTCTCTACCTCCTCTCCCGGTGTCGGCCTCGCCGTCCCCTCGCCCGCCATTAGCCCGCTGCCAGCCGCCGTAGCATTCCCTTCGCCCTAGAGCACCCACCGAAGCTCCAGACATCTCAATCGTCGTCGACCTCCGTGTCAAGATGTCCATCAGGACCATCTCGGTCGCCGTCCCGTTCACCGTCATCCTCTGTGGCAGCCGGTCCACCACTTTCTGAGCTCGCCGTCAAAATTTGAATATTCCATGAAATTGCTGTGATATTGTGGCAGAAGAAGTCTCGGTTGTCAGGGATCGAGTGACGGACAGTCATGGCTGTGGCTACGACGGAGGACCGGCGGGACTGCGGCGGAGGGAAACGGTGTCACCGGTGGCAGTTTGGGGCTGGTGATCTTTTAATTTTTTTTTTTGGTTTGAGGACTTGCACTTGAAAATTTGACAAGTTACGGGGACTTATATGCATTTTTGTAACTTTAACATATCATGATTTAGTATTGGGGCAAATCCGTAATTTAGTAAAAGTTTAATATATGCACCACAATAATAAATAAAATGCACAATAATGTGCATCTTGACATACATTAATGTGCAATGTGTCTAACATTATTGTGCACGATTTCGGTAACTATTGTGCAGTCTGGACCGAATGAACTTTTGTCTCAAACTAAGTTAAAATCGGACGAATTAACCAGTTAATTTGTTTGGTTACTCAAATAGCAAAAAATAACTGATTTTAAATATTATTTATATTATAAAATCTTATTTAGCAGTCTAATATTTTTTTATCTAACACTTTATATTTTCTCTTTTTGAAAAAAAAAAATAATATTTTTGTATAAATACATAAAAGTAAAATATTTTTTATATAATTTGTTCGGTCCGATTATTTATGCTATTTTAAAATAAAGTCGTTATGGAAACGAAATAAATTAAATTTTGAAAGGTAAAACATATAATTAAATTGACATGTAAAACCCCGAACCAAAAAAACTTAGTTCGGTCGGTTCAGTCGATATAGTGCAATCTGAAAATCACTAATGTGCAATACATACAACATTAATGTGCAATCAGTTGGACATTTAATTAAGATAACTAACATTTTAAAAAAAATAAATGAAGTCGTTACCGACCCGAGCTACCGATATTATGTATTAGATATATTTATTTGGATTTATATGACGTGGTATTTTGGCGGGAGATATCGACGTTTAATTGTGGACAATCATGATAAAGTGCAATGTGATGTTTCAGAAAGTGCAACGTGTTGTTTCATAAAGTGCAACGTGACAGTGTATAAATAAAAAATACTGTACTTTTGGTATGATAGTATGCTTGTTTTTTTTTTTTTGGAACAGATGATGTAATGTGTGATAAAATATTATGTTATCCGGTTTTTAGATTTATTTTGTGCTGTATTTTTTTTGCGAAAATTATTGACATTAATTGTGGGGCGGGTTGATAAAATGTAGTTTGTTGTTTTATAAAGTGCAACGTGTTGCTTTATAAAGTGCAACATGTTATTTTATAAAGTGCAAAAGTGCTTTATTTCAAGTGAAATAATTAATAAGACATATAAATTATGTGTATTAGAAAACTATTTATTAATTGATATAATTGTACAAATAATTAACTTAAATAATTTATATATTTATTAGTTATTATTATTATATATTTTTTTTATTATTATAAATTATTTTTACATTTTATATTAATTTTATTAATAATTTGTTTATTATTTAATATATGTATATAACAAAAAACACAAAAAATATTTTTTTATTAACTTTCAATAATTACACATTTGGCATGTGGGCTTACTTGAAATATAACTAAAATTCTTAAAATTACAATTAGGTCCCTAAACCTAGTCTAATTCCCAAAAAAAACCCCAAATCTCTCACCCCATAACTCATATTCCGACCAGTTGTCCGTCGCCTTCACCGCCGCCTGATTCTGTCGCCGCCGCCAGCCACATATCGTGTGCCTTCAGCCTCCGCCTCAGCCTTCTACCATCTCACCTTCCCGCATCTCGTCGCCGGACATCATGGAGGAGAAATTTGGCCGAGTGGTTGCGCCTGGTCTGGAAGCTGGAGAATCTGGCAGTGGATACCCTCAATCGATACCCTCGCGTCGCCGGAGAATCTGGAAGCTCTCAGTGGATACCCTCAGTCGACGGAGGCGGTAGTGGAGATGTCGTTGGAAGGGAGAACTGGCCAGTGGACGACAAAAAACGACGGATTATGCGGCGGTGGTCGGGCTTCCACTCACAGACGATGGTCGGCGGCGGATGTAATGTAATCCAGTGTGCCTGTGTGTGAGATTTGTTGAGTTTGTGTGTATCAGTTTTATTAGTGAGAGAGAGAGAGAGAGAGAGAGAGAGAGAGAGAGAGAGAGAGAGAGAGAGAGAGAGAGAGAGAGAGTTTAATTGTGGCAGGTGACACATTTTTTAATTGAGGAGCGGGTCCCACTGAGGTGGATGGATGAGGATATTACTACATTACCCTTAATGAGTGTAAAAATTAGCATTTTTTTTGAACCATTAGATCATGAGATTGAATGTCCAAGATTTATTCTTATTTCTTTCATTGAGAATCATTCTCACTAGAACCCAACCATATATATATATATATATATATGTATATATGCTGTTCGTTGTCGTACAATACTGATTTCAATAAATACTGTTAAAATTTCATGAATATTAATTTGGGTCAAAATCTTTTTCACCCCATTATAAATCTATTCTTTCTTTTACACACCGCCCCATGAAATAACTTCTTTTACACCCCAAAACTCACGAAATGCTATGCGATATTACAGTCGCATGTCCAAATGAACCAGCGTATATCCAAGCGGACGCGTAATTTATGACTATGCGAAAACATTTCGCATTTTTGTAATTGCATATCCACATCAAACGCATAATTTACAAATATGCGAATATCTTTCGCAGTTTTAAGAATCGCATATCAAAATCGAATGCAGCATAATTTACGATGATTATGCGCCTTATTTCGCAGGGCTATATCGACCTTGCAAATTTATGACTGTGCGAAAACGTTTCGCATATCATTCGCATTATTTGTTGAATTCGCATTTTCTGGAAATTGCATATCCAAGTCAATCGCATAATTTACTGGTATGCGAAAAACTTTCGCATATATCCGCCGGATAATTGACAATGATGCGACATTTTTTCCCTCCCATATTGAAGAATCACATAACAAAATCGAATCAAGCATAATTTAATTGACGATAACGCGCCATTTTTTCGCAGGGCCATATCGTCATGGAAATTTTACGACTATTCAGAATTTGATCGCATATCTGTCGCATAAGTTACGCACCTCATTAATTGACTGCTTTTTCACAGGTGAGGATTTTGTCTGTGCATTTATCATGTAGGCAAAAAAACAGTGATCTCTAACAATTCAACGTCTGCACCATTCTTCTCTACTGCAATTTTCTGTTTCTTTCGTTTTAATCCTTTTGTTGTTCACTTATTTGAATGGCTAGCACCCGTGTTAGAGTATGCGTGAGCTATGGTGGTACGTTTTCCGGGGGTTCATATCTTGGTGGAGTGGCAGAGCTGATGAGAATAAATTACGGCCGACAAATGTATTCTGAAGTAGTTTCTCGTGTTCAAGCATTATTGAAGGCCGATCCTTGTAATTTTGAGTACTTATTGTGGGCAGTATTTGATGAAAGGGACGAAAGTGAAGATGAAAATTGAATCCAGTGAGGATATCTTAGAGCTGATTGAAGAACAAAAAACTCCCAACATTTACGTGGAGTTGGAGAAGCGAGTAAATGTCGGTGTTCCGGGGACGGCGCAACAAAGCTTCACGCAAATGATGGCGTCCCAAGGTGTATTTCCGAGTTCTTTTGGTGTTGGTAGTTCTGCATTTTCCCACGAGGCCCCATATTCACATCAAGCAGGCCCTAGTTCAGTTACACATACTGGATATCCTCGGGGCGCTGATGATCAAACCGCCGGTTGTTCGAACCAACCAGGTCATTCTCGTGACGATGACAATAATGATGACCAAACCAACACGCACAATGGTCAGGCCCGTCTTAAGGGGGGTGGCAGCTGGTGCGACGCCCAAGGGCCCATGAGGCTAGGGGGCCCATGAGTATTATGTATATATATGTATAGTAGATGTATTGGTCAATTCAAGTAACAGTGTTTTCCTAAACGGCCTAAACGGACCGTCTAAACGGGTTTAAACGGTAGACGGTGCCTGACCGCACAGTTTAGGGGGTAGTCGGACTTCTAAACGGTTGACCCGTATAGACGGTCGTAGACGGGAAAAAACGGGGTAGACGGCCTAAACGGAACGGGTCCTGGGCGGTCGTAAACGGCGTTCAGCCCGTTTTTTGACCCGTTTAGGCGATAGAGCTGGCCGGCGCGAAAAAAATTCCCCATATATATGGCCACGGGGCTTAGGGTTAGGAAAAAAATTCCCCATTCGCGCCTCTGCCCGCTAACGCGCGTACCCATTTAGGCGATAGAGCTGGCCGGCACATACATTGCTGAATTTGATATCACAGAGAGGGGACCTCGAGAGAGAACCGGTCTACAAAAGGTGTGCAAAATCCACATTCTTACTAATTTATGTTTTTCAAAATGCAAATTCTATGCTACAGTAAAAAAACCGTTTAGCCCGTTTAAACCCCGTTTAAATCGGTCTAGACCGATTAAACACTAAACTTTGGGTCACCGCCCAGCCTCCGTTTACCGTTTACGAAATCATTGTCAAGTAATAATTAATTTAACCTCTAAGCCCAATAACATCAACATAATCAAATTGATCTTGATGTTGTTCTTGAAGATTTTGCATCAAGAAATGCTCGAAGGCAGATTTTTAAAAAGAACTGAAGCTTTATTTGAAGTATTCAAAATTTTACTATTGTTTTACCTTCTTAAATGTACTGCTTTTTTTATTGGCTAAATATACATTGCAAGTTATCTCTTATAAATAGTACTATATACTCCAATTGTTATATTCAATTTTTAATTAGATTGTCGGGCCCTTAGTGTCTTGCTTGCCCAAGGGCCCTCGAAATTGTTGAGACGGCCCTGACAATGG